CTACTTCTAAATCGCAGGCAGGGTAGATATTTTCTGCATCTGGCAGCTTAGCTCTTGAACGTGTAAACTTAGGTTTGGCCAACTGCTCAGGACTTTGGATCTTGGGGAAGTGAAGCAGATATGGGAACAGGCAGCTGTTACTCAGGGTAGCAGTAGTCGAGCCGAGATTCCAACGGAAGTGACAGATGTCCACGGAGGTGGTGTCCTTACCTGTGGCATGACCCTCGCTTTGTTTGGCTGCCTATTGGCTACATTTTCGTTGCATTTCCTGTCTTGATGTCATCCTCTTCTCCAGGTTTTCCATCATTCTGAGAGCTACTCAAAATTCTTTCAATGAATTCCTTTTCTGCTCAAGTTAGCCAGTCTGTTTCTGTTGTTTGCAACCGAGTCTGATAAAGTATGTCATGTGAATATACTGATATCATGGATTTATGAAACATTGAGACCCCTTAAAGTTTTATTTTTATTTGCTTTTGAAAAACATTTTTCAATTTTCCAGAAGCTTAAAATTAAGAGAATTAAATTCTTAAGGCTTTGGGGATTTCTTTTTTTGCAAACATCACCAAAAGCTTATACCTGACAATTACAGAAGATCTATTTTACTGTGCATATTTATAAAGTGGTGACCTATTCAAATTCAGATTTTTTTTTCTTACTAAGCAATTTCAGCAATTGCCTAGGGGAATTCATTGTTAACTATAAAAGTCACAGAGCAATGGAAGTTTTATCTCTTTCGTTATGTTATGTGATGAAACGGAATATTGTCATATTTTCTTGAGAAAAGGATATAATAGATTACTGTCAAATCTAATTTTAGATGAAAAATAATTAAACTTTTAAAGAAACAAGAGGAATGATAACTTGGAAAATATAGAATAGCAACCTTTATTCATATCACTGTATTTACTAATTATAAATGTGGAAACTGAAGTCATGGTGCAAAAAGAAGACATTGTTTTTCATGATAAATCGAGGCAGCAGGAAGTATACACACACACACACACACACACACACACACACAGGAAGTCTTTCTTTGGCAACTTTTTCCGGGAGAAAATATACATACATTGTTAATTTCTCTCTCTCTCTCTCTTGCTCCTCCTCCCCTCTTCCCTCTTTTTTTCCCTCTCCCTCTCTCTCTTTTTTCAGATTTAAGGTGAAGTTGGCTTCCTAGAGGAAAGGTTAGAGAAACAGATGCCTTTTTCTCCAGTTTGGTGACAGTCTTCTAAGAACATGCAGATTAACTCTACCAGACAAGTCTTTTTAGGTGGCTCTTCGAAGTTTGCCTAATCACACTTCCCTGTCAAATGAGTGAATGAATCAATGCATGAATGAATGGATGGATGTCACACGAACCTTTCAAGTTAACTGACAAAGCTTAAGGTAAATGTCTTTTCAGTCTAAACTGGATTTGATTTTTAAAATATACAAAATCAACAGATGTCAGATTCTTCTTGAAATGATACTAGTCTGAGAATGTACCTCAACATGAAAAGGGAGATCATTATATAAGTTCTTGTGTTACTTGATAAAAGATGTATATTTGTCATATATTACCCATAAAAGCTTTGTTAATATATTGTTAAAATTGAATTATGAGAGAATAGGAATTTCTGAACACACTAATTTGTCTATCTGTAAATTAGAAATAGACATTTCCAGGAAAAAAGTTATTCCGAATTAAAAAAAAGCAGTCTTTCTCCTTTTCATCATTTAAAGTTACTAGACAGTAAGACTTTCAAAAGCATAAACTAGTTATCAATAGGAAAAACATATTTCCAGAAATAAATTTTATTCCAAATTTTTTAAAAAATCTGCTTTTCTCCCTGTCAGCATTTAAAGCAGGTGCCATCTTCTGATTAATTAAATCACAAGATGTTCCTTATGCGAAAATCTTTGCAAATGAAACTTAAACAGAAACTTGGCTGCACTGTTGTCATTTCTTCTTCTTCTCTTTTTTTTTTTTTTTGGATTATCCAGAACACTACATGGCTGGCTTGCAAGCTCATTTTCCAGATCACTGATAGCGGAGCAATTTTGTGTTTGTGTGTGTATGTGTTTTGTTTCACAAGATATCAGCTTGAAGTGGTTTCAAATCTCTGGCAACAATTTCTTAAGGAGTATGTCAAAAATGAGCTATTGACCACATTTTTGCCATGTCATTTGTCAAATGTGCGGTGGGCAGATGTCAAATTTCAGGCAACCACAGTCCACATTTATGAAACGTTTTAGAAAACTATGTAAGAGTTCTGTGGATCTTATTAGGTGCTTTAGAACAATCAAGAAACGCTTGTTCTTTATTATCAGCATATTATGATCTCTAAAGAATATTTTATAAGTCCTTTTTCTAAAATATGGTCCGTAAATTTTCTCAAGAAATTCCACGTGCTTGGATTACTTGTTTAAGCACCATTCAAAACTGCAGGAGGTAGAAGTCTGCTGTGGTTTAGTGTAGAGTTAACTTTTTTGAATGTAAAAAGGTCAAAATTAATGAAGAAACTAGCAAATTCAAAGTTCCACCTAGGAACATCCCAATGCTTTTAGCAATTCACTTGAAATGAAGGAAGAAAACCACCCCCTTTAACATTTTAAAGCTTTGAAAGCCTAATGAACCATGCTACCTCCTGCAGTTTTTACCAAACTAAAATTTGCGCAAGGACTGGGCTCATTAGCACTAAGTGAAGCAGCCCATTCAGATTATGCTGCAGCTTCTTGCAATGTTTTCACCATTATCCTCGTGTTTGCTGGATAAAATATTGCTGTCTCAACTGTGACTTCAGTTTTCTTATTGTTGTTGTAAAATTCCTGTTATCCCATGAATTAAATGTCCCTCCTCCCAAATGACAAAAAGATTGTTTTCTTTTAACAAATGTCCAAAATACATTAATTCTTCAACAAAGCAGATTCTTGAAGCAAGGTGGTTTTTGTTAAGTTTTAATTGTTTATTTCTCCTTCTGTATGTCCCAAACTATGGGTAATGGTTTGTGGGATAAGGAAGAAAATGAGTAATTAGAATACAGAGAATGTAGAATATTAGATATGTAGATAAACTTGGGGATTTTTCTGAATCATTACAATAGAGATTATATTATCAAACCTCAAATTATTAGCAATTCATTTAATTCAACTTTTTCTAAGATTTTTACATCTCATCATTTTAGGGAAAACTTTATGCTGCAATGAAAAACCCATACATTAGTGAGAGCACACCCTTCCAGGTTATCTGACTTGATTCCATGGAGACTCTGTACCTTTCATTGCATTTGAGCTATTTTACAAGTTGTAGATAAAAGTGATACTAAGACAAAAGACTTCTTGTATATAGACAGGTAAATAAATTCTGTTGGCTAAAGATTCAATTGACTTCTCTTCCTTACTCTGGAAGAAGCCAATTTTGCCTCCATTAGCACATTAATTTCAATATTCTTCATCTGTAAATGTGTCTCTTCTTTGGATTGTTCTTTTATCTGGTTGTAACATCTTACTTACTTGGTCCTTCATTAATGAATTAATGTGTTTGTTTTATATGTGTATGAATGTCACACTTTTAATTTTTTTTAAACTAAAAAGTGATATCCACAGGATTTGCATTATGTTTATATTTTGACAACAAAATACAAATGTATTCCTTAGGTTGTATATAGTTTAATTTCTGGAATTAGAATCTCCCTCTTGTTCTACTGCCCCAGCACAAACAGATGTGCATATAATTAGTATTTTGATATAAATTGGCTCAAACAACATCACTCAAGATTAAAATCAGTATTCTATCGTGAATTTTAAAAAAATGTGTGTATGTATTGTGATCTCCATTTCCTTAAGAATTCTGTTGATTGCAGATGCCTGGGAAATAGTCTTAGTGGATTATCCAAAACTTGGCAGGTCTTTTGCAAAATGCTATAGGAAAAAGATACATATGATTGATTATGACAAGATCCTCCATTTGGTGTGATGGGTCTTATATTACCAAGGGCTGTGTGTCCAAAGGCAATTGCATGGTATGTCCCACACCCCAAAGTTTTTAGAAAAGATGTATGATGTGATTTGCCTTTAAACATATCCCTCTGGAGGCATTGGAAAATAAAGGGATGGCATTAAAGAAAAAAGAATATAATGTATATATAAACAAAGTTACTTATATATAAATATAAACATACATATAGTTGTTTGTGAAGGCAGTAAAGCAATCATATTTTTTCCTATTCCTAAGAAGGCTAATGGAAATAGAAACAAATTGGGAGTATTTTGCATTGCACATTTGGCTCAAATCTGTCACTTAATAGAAGTATAATCTTCAGCAAGTGACTTAAAATTTCTTAATCTCATTTTCATCATCAATATATGATAATAATAATATTTTAAAGTACTGAGAAAATCAAAGTAACAATGTCTGCGGAAATACTTTGCTGCTGTAAAATGCAAGGCAGAGATAGTTGTGACCCTTTGGGAGTAACTCTAGCTGCACGTCTGTCTCTGAGGTGGAGCTACGTTCTTAGATTGAAGGCCCTGGGAGAGTTGTGCTCGCCTTAGGATGACTGTGGGTGGAGCTCTTAGGGAGAACAATAAAAACTGTTCCTCCTTTCTTCCTCTCCGAGAATACTGGAAAGTATTTATTTGACTCACTTGCCAATTTTTTCTCCTGCTGCTAGAGATGTCAATTCCTAAATATTTTCAGTATGGTTTGGGATTAGGAAAAAGTCCATGCAAATGTGAAGGCATATGCTTCTTGGGCAGTTCAGGAGTACACTGACTCACTGGTGTTTGGATCAAATTCCACTATCTTGAATGAATTATTTTTGGAAATTTTTCTCTTAAAATTTTTGTATTTCTACTTAATGGGCTACAGTGAGTTTTCTGAATACCCAGATGTCATTTTGAAGTATCCGTGTTTTAACCTATTACGTTCACACTCTGGCTTCCAGAGTCTGAGACTTGATGCTTCTGTTTCCATGTGACTGGCCACAGGATCGAGGTTACAAAGGGAGCAGTAATGAGCAAGTGGGAAAATCAGATCTTATTAGTGTGTTTGCATTTTGTTGTGGGGAGAGGCGTTTGGTAGATATGGTTTTCCCAGAATAGCAATGACACCCATATTTCAAAATAGCTTGTTATACCAGGTGTGGATCGTTTCCATGGTTTGTTGTTTTGTTTACTTACCACATTGTTCCCTTTTATTTGGTTGGCCAGCATAGATGGACAGATTTGGAGAAGAGGGCATAAAACATTCATATGGGGTGGCTCTCATTTGCATATTATAGCAGTCACAAACTAAGGGCTCTCAGCCAAATCACGTTTTGTTTGGAAAGCAAGGTGTTTTTAAGGAAATTGTATTGGAATGCTGTGGGTTAGGGTATATACTCCCTGTTTTATACCCAGCTAACTTATGAAGTTATAGTATTTGCCCAACTCGGATAGGCATTTGGGTTTCTAGATGCTTAACCTATGAAACCATCAGGATTTTATCATCAGTCTTTGTTGCTAACTAACTCTGCTGCATTTCAGCAGGTAAAAGTTCTCAATAATTGATTAAAGAATCTCTCCTGAAAACTTCTTCTTTAGGCTAGATGTGGTTCAGCTTGTCAAACCTTTTGGGAATCAGCAACAGAGAGAAAGGCTACAACGTGGAACTCTTTGAAACTGTAGCATCTAAAATTTTCACCCTGTATTGCTTCAGAGTACCTGAAAGATGTGAATGTGGTACAGTGGATGCAGCAGAAAATAAAGAAGGGAATAGCAGAAATATGTTTAAATTATCATTTCTTCCTTTTTTATCTTAAACTACTAGAGTTTTAAAATGAGTCAAATACATATTTTAATTGATAAACTGACTTTATATTCACCTATTGGAAACAGTACAACATATTTTACATCAGATTATGAAATATGGATGTTTTACTAAAAGACAGGAAGAGCTTTTTCCAGTCTTTAAAGTAAATACATATTCAAAGGATCTTAAGGCATACCATTTATTCATATTCATATCTATTGAAATACTGTACATCCACATACTTCAATAAATAGTTAAAAACCTGACCTCTTTTTAAATCATTTCTGAATTTCAAAAAACAATTTTTATTGAAAAGATTAAATAGGTAACTTTTGGCTGTGTCACAAAGCTAAGCACAATGGATAAATTAACAAAATTCAGTAAATTTGATCAATATAGACGATTGGCTTTGATAAGTTTCTCAGAATTTTCTGAATTCACACATAAGGGTATTTATATATATATTTATTTTGCCTTGAATTATCTGGGTAATTGTCTCAGTTCTCCAGTCTACTTTCTAGATATAGCTTAAATGTTATGATGAAGCATTAATTTTTCAGTTAAGTTTTAAACCCCCCAAAAGTGGTCTTAAGTTTGACATTCTCTCTCAAATCTTTTAGTGTCCCCCCAAAACACAATACTATAATATGGGAAATACTTTTTGTTGTATAATTGCTGCATATTCTGTATAATAACAGAAACTTAGTGGTGTAACAGGAGTTATGTTTTGAATGGGGTCACTGTAAAACATAATTACACCACTTGCAGTTAAACCAAGAATGCTAATAAATTAGGTCAACTACCCTAATATTCCGGATCTTCTCTCCTCATCCTTTCTTCCTTTCTTCCTTCCTTCCCTCCTTCCTTCCCTCGCATCCTCTCTCCCTCCCACCCTCCTTCCTTCTTTCCTTCCTTCCTCCTTTTTTTCCTCTCTCTTTACCTCCTTCCTTTTTCTGTCTTTCTTTTCTTTCCACTCTTGTTTCTCAACGGCTCTTTATTTTTCTTTTTTCTTTCTTTGAACAAAAATTCAGGGGCAACAAAAGGAGTCCCACAAATGGAACTTACGGAAATACAGTGCTGAAATAAATAGCTAGAAAAAATTGTTATAGATCAAAAGATAAATCAATTTTATAAAACTGCTATTCTGAAATTGCAACAATCTTGTACAGTCAGGACTGATAAAATGGAGTAATCAGACATTTCATATGCCCATAAATGTAAAATCATCTACTTGAACATTATATGCAATACATTCACACAAAAAAGCAAATACTGTAGCCTTATTTGAACAATATTGAACTCATAAATACTCATGATTTCACTCTGTCCAGGGCCCTAAGGACTAAGAATGCTGCTGTGATACAGAAAAACATAGTGAATACCTCCTCTATTTAAAAATGTCACTCAAGAAAGTCTCTTCTAACATAAAGGCAAATACATATAGCTACCGCGCTATGACTGTACTTCTGTCACATTCTATGGGAAAAACACCAGACTCTACAAATTCGGAATCATGACAACACTTTGAACTAATTATTTGGTTCATCCATAGTTTATACCTCGATTTACCTCACATTTACCCTACAAACCTTACAAAGAGGAGGTATTTTTAACTCTAGGAAAGCGGTCACTGTATAATATGCATTCTTGATCTGTTTCTTTCTCCCAAACAATGGTACTGATGGTTAACACTTTTGTGGTAGCACCACTATTTCTAGTAAGTAGATTATTATGGAGTGTGCCACTTTAAAGCTGCAATACAAAAAAAAGTATTTTGTAGTTTACTGACCAATTCCACAAAGAATATTTTTAAGAAGCAAATCAATAATAATCAAAGTGAAAATGCCATGTGTTTAAAAAACCCATTTTAATATATCAGTCAAAATAATGTAATAAATTATTACAGAGAGTAAATTTAATAGCATTATGCCATATTTTTGACATTTTGTGGAAAAATTGTATATTTATGCCTCCTCGTTTAAGATTCATTTTTCTAATTAAAATAGATTTATGGTATACTTTGGGACTGAATTTTGCTTGAAAAAAATCATGATTTTCAAGCCATCTCTCTTGGGAAAAAATATCAGACATCTTAAATACAAACAACCTTTGTGAAATTTCTTGTATCTAACTTTATTAGTAGGCTTTTTGTTATTGTGACTTTCAAAAGTGAATATTTGCAAAAATCTCTCTATGTGTAATGACATTGGTAACTTTGTCAAACTTGTAAAATGGCTTTCAAGGCTATGTTCTTTCTTTAGGTAAGAGTAAAACCATCAAACTATTCCTGTAGTCTAATACTTCTTAGAGTAACAGCATTTTCCTTCAAAAATGTAGTTTTCATTCTTTTAATAGAAATAATTTAATATTCATGATAACTTAATAATTAATATATCTTAAGATACTCTCATCACTGGTGTCTTCTCTCCATCTGATCACATCTTACATATATCATGTAAGAAGAAATATAGCATGGTAATTTTTTTTTTTGCCTTACTTGTTTGAGCTGAAATGGCTATAGAGAAAGATTTTATTGCAGAATTAGTTATTTCAGGGATTGATCTGTGCATACCAGCATGGAACACTTGTTCTAACATATTTTGGAACATTTTTTTATATAACATGCATTCCAAACTATCAACTGAGTGATGTTTTCAGATGGAAAATATGCAAAATGCTCTTATCCACAGGAGACTATATCTATCATATCAACTTACCTGCCACAGACCCACATTAATTTTGAGTGCTTACCTACTCATGTAATATTAGGTAATCAGATTTTGTGTCCTTTCTGGCAAACCATCTTAAAAATTTTGACTTGGAATAGTGAAAGGAAAAGATGCTGTCCTGCTAGGCAATCCCTTGGATGGACTGTGCTGTTATTTTAAAGGGAATTATTTCCCAACGTGAATCTAATATTTAGCTACAACAAGAAATCATATGGTAAATATCTGTACTCTATTAGTTAAATTGTGTTTCATCACAAAACTGAGTTACTGGGGGCAAAATTCTCAAATCCCACTGGTAAAGAGGGAAGAGATTTTTACAGTCACCGCTGTCATTCGTGAGAGATCAAATATGGTTTAACTTTATCACTGTGGTTTATTTTGCTTTCAAATTGTAGAATTCTGCAAAACATTTTTATTAGTTGGAGATGAAGAGAAAGATATTATTTTATGAAGGCACACCCATGCTGAACTTACAGGAAAGAGAAGCAGAGCTGCACAACCAGTTATATTACAAGGCTCATTCCTGAAACCCGAATATCATGCGAGCAGAAAAATCTAGACATGTGTTATATTTTGAAGAAATGATCTGAAGGCAATATTATTTGCTTTTTATCGAAAAAGAAAAAAAATGCATCTTTGTAAATGTGGATTGACTCTCATTGAAACAGGGAAATGAACGCTTGTATTGCAGCCTTAAAGAATCACATATTCACTGCAATATTCGTTTTTGTAAACTACAGCCTGCAACCCAGCAGACCATGACTGAATGCTTTTGAGAAGTTGTAGATTACAAACATGAAATCACAATTAATATCCTCTAAAAGTAATTTCAGAGCTTTCACGTCTTAAAAAAAGGACAATGTGTACTGCTTCACAAGGTAATGTAGCTAATCAAAAAAAGAGTAGAATTAAAGTATTTACATAATGAGCAATTCTACAGAAGGCGATCATCCCCATGTAAGCACTGCTGATTATATCCCACGCTGCTTTTAACAAACTGTACCAGATTGGATCCAGCCATCAGCACTTTCAGAGAATCCTTAAAAGCCTTTCATGGGTCTTTAAATTTATTGTAGAATGGCATTCTTCAGGTAGAATATGCTGGTGACAGGGGACAGTGTCAACACAAGGCGCCAGCAGGAGAAAAGAACGTCAGCGCTCCCGGTAATTCCATACTGGGCTGTACTTGGAGCTGGAAAGAAACGGAAAAGATTAAATCAAAATCTAATTTGTGTCTTCCAGGTCCTTAACAACAATCACAAGGCAGCCAGGTATACTGGGGAGAGCACTGGCATGGGAGTCAGGGCAGGCCTAGGTTCATATCCGGTTCTGCTGTATGACAATGTGTGGCCTATTTGACTAACCTCTCCGAGCTTCAGTTTCCTCAAGGGCAAAATAGAAATAATATAACCCACCTGGCAGGAATGCAGTAAGAATTGGAGATGAATCACATCTAGCACATTGCACTGGGCTGGACCCATGCTAAGAACTCAGTAAACAGCAGCTAACATTATTATTCCTCTTGTTTGCAATGTAAATATCTGTATTAGTGGACATCATTCATGCATATATTTTTTAAAATTTATTTTTATTGAGATCTAATTGACATATTGTGTAAGTTTAAGGTGTACAACATGTTGGTTTGATATATTTATATACTGCAATATGATTACTACCTTAGTGTTAGCTAACACTCTTATCATATCACATAATTATCATTTCTTTTCTGTGGTGAGAACAATTAAGTCTCTTAACATCTTTGAAGGTTATAATACAGTATTGTTGCCTATAATCATTTTGCTGTGCGTTAGATCTCCAGGACTTACTTATCTACTAGTTCTAAGTTTGTACCCTTAAACAATATCTCCCCAGCCTCTGGTAACCTCTATTCTACTCTCTGTTTTTAAGAATTCAGCTTTTTTAGATTCCAGCTATGAGTGATATCATACATGTATACATGCATATATTTGGGGATCTTTTTTATTGGCCAAATACTGTACTAAATGCTGGAAAAATGAAGAAGAGGTCTCTCTTCCAAAAATTTCTTTTTGAAGTCAGGAAAGATATTCAAACAATTGTAATACAATCTTAGGAATATTAGAGTTGCATGTGCAAACCGCAGTGACACAGACAATTGTGTATTTAAATCTGCCTAGATAAGGGAGGGATAATTTAACAGGGAGTTTTACTGAAGTGGACCATCATTTGGGTAGAGGAAACAATAATTTCAAAGGCATGAGGAAAAGAGAGAACACAGCACATATGCTAGGATCGAAAAGTAGCTTAGTCTTGCTGGACGATGAAGTTTGAGGCCTGGAGTGGAGCGAATTGAAACTGGAACTCTAGGCAGATAAAATGACCTCGATTGTAATGAAAAAGATTTTAGTTTTTCATACTGAAGGAGATTTTGAAGAATCTGGAGCTGTTGAATTGTAAGACTACATTTATACGTTAGAAGGATCACAGTTTTCTATATGGAAAAGCTCATGTGGTACTGGGCTAATAGTTACATGGAATCTTCACTGAGAAATTTCACCTAGAGATTCACCAAGCTTGGGATATTGTGGGAGTCCACTGAAGGGAGTCCACTTTATGAACAGAGGACAGTTGCTTCTTTGAATGTGAATTATATTGTGTTCCAGAAATTGAATGTCGCAGGCATGCTCAGCCTTGCTTGAGACTGATCTTCATTTACCATAATAATAACAATAGTAATAATTAAAAATTCCACCAACATGCTTTTACCTATCTTTTTAAAATGAAACCTGGATTTCAAGCACTATTTCCTAACAGAAAATGAATAATGTAGTAAAAAATACACTATTTCACTCCCAAACTATAACTCAAATCCAGGAGCAGTTTTAATCACACTGAGTTTGAATTACCAGCAGGTAGTTTTTAATGGAACTTTCACCAATGACCATATTTCCGTGTTACAAAAAGAATAAATTGTGTTGTTTATATCTCTAAGAAATTAAAGGGAAGGAAAGATGCACTGGTCCTTGACACTACAATTGTTGATTCCGGGTGAGTGAGATTCAAGGCTGAGACCACCACTTTTTAGTAAATACAGAGCAAAATCAACTCTGTAATGCTTTGATTTGCATCACAAATGAGTTTTAAAAAATGAGAAGGTGATGAAAAAAATACATCTATTGTAGAACAGATAGCCTTTCAAATTTTGATGTATAAGAAGTCTAAAACCATGAAACTCCTTAAATTATTTTCTGTAGTTCAAGACCTAGAAAGATGTTTTCTTTGTTAATATATAAATAAATACTTAATTGGCCTGTTCCCTTCTCAATGACAGCTATTTCAGAGTTACTTTTTGCTGTTGTTTTTTAAGAATCTTGAGTGCAATAAAACCAGTATAATAGTAAAGGACTAATAATAATAAGCAAAGCATATAAAATGACTTCATAAATAAAAAATAGATCTTAAAAGCCAAGCATACAAAGCAAAGATAAAATTTTTATTATCATGACAAATTAAATAGCACATTAAGTGGGTAGAGTATAAAAGACCCTCAAAACTCCTTATCCATCTTTTAAAATGCATTTTGGGGGCAATCTTTCCTGAATCCCTGCTCCTTCTCCAACAAACTGAGTAGATTACTCTATTGTGTCGTTAGGCCACCGTATATATTCCTTTTTATACAATTATCATACTACATTGCAAATATCTATCTACATATCTGTATGTCTATATATACATACATACATGTATATGTACGTATACATCTCTCACCAGACTCTCTGAGTTCATGTTTTATTTATCTTAGTATTTCCAGACACAAAGTCTGGCAAAGTCTGGTGCACTGTAGATGCTCAAGAAATGGCTGTTGAATGAAGGACTCAGTTAGATAAATGAACAGGTCAGAGTTAAAAGAAGTATTTCTCTCCTACAAAATGGAATCTCTTCTGAAGCAAGCTAAGCATACAAAGAGAATCTTGCCTACAGGCTACAGAATCTGCAATATACCTTCTCTCATTCATTCAGCAAACATTTACTGAACTAGGTACTGGGTATTGTACTAAGTACTGGGAATACAATAGCTAATAAGATAGGTGTGATCCTTTTGTTACTTAATCCCATGTACCCTCATACCTACTCCTTTTTATCATATACCTTCAATGCCACCTTTTCCCCCAATGTGCCTTTCTTGTCTATTCAGCCTCCTACTGTCTGTCATAGACATAACATATTCAAGTTAACAGAGTATACATTTTTTCCACTTGGTGTCTCAAATTGATGTACATTTTACTTGTTTGTGAATGCAATACTTCTGTTAGCCCTAAAATAAAGTAGTAGCCTGCTGCTGCATTGTTAGCCTGCAATTATTATAGGAAATAGACTGTAGAATAACTATTGACAATTAATAGGGCAAAAAACAAAGAGTAAAGTTAGTCAAGGGAATGTGAGGTCAGCTGTCTAATGCCAAGTCATATATCATGATCTATACTTCTTAACTATATATTGAGCATCTTTTATGTGCTGGGGATGGAACAGAGGCAAAGATGAATAAAACTCAATCTCCTCTCTTAGGCAAGTTTCATTCTAGTTGGAGATATAAATAAAAAGGCACATATAGAACATTAGGATGTATACATTTATAAGGATAATAAACAAACGTGGGAGGGCTCCCCACGGAGTCATGGCAGATAAGCAGCCCAGGCAGCAGATACAAATATAATTTTTATTTTTGCTGAGGAAGATTAGCCCTGAGCTAACATCTGTGCCAGTCTTCCTCTCTTTTGTATGTGGGCTGTTGCCACAGCATGGCTGATGAGTGGTGTATGTCCATGCCTGGGATCTGAACCCGCGAACTCTGGCCACTGAAACAGAGCACGCCGAACTTAACCACTACGCCATGAGGCCAGCCCCCCAAATACAATTATTTTTTACAAAATGCAATGATATACACATTTTAGTACATGTACAATTCACTTTTTAAGATGGAAGCATAGTAGTCCATTGACTTGGGGTATTGTTTATTATATAACCTTAGTCCATCTGACCGATATTTATTATGTGTTTTTTTTTGTGATTTGTTAACTGAGTGACTAACAGTTAGGCTAACAGTACTAAAGTTAGGGGTCTCAGTACTATCTGGGCCAATTAGATTTGCTTAGCAAGTTAAATCCCAATCAACTATTTAAGAAATTATAGAAAGTGTTAAAATAACTGTTAGCTATTAGAAATTAGCTTCAAAACTCAGATCAAGTATCATCTCCTTTAAAAAGAGAAAAGTCACTAAATTAATTTGGCCTCATATTTGATACCATATTTACATATATCTATCACGTCATCTTTACATATCTATCTTTTCCCATTATACCAAGAACATCTTCAGGCCAAGAATTATTATATGTATCTTTTATCGTTGGATGGAACACCGAGTTTGGTACTTAGTAAGTGTTCAATAAATATTTGTTGAATGATGATAAGGTTCATATCCATTTCCCATACTGTCACCATAAACACATAAGGGGACGCAATACCTTTATTTCTTTTTCAGAAGAATACTGTCTTTCACCACTCATATTTTATTGTATTTCTTCTCTCCCTACTTTGAGATTCATTATTACCTTCTAAGACCTGTACAGAGTCAGAATACCTTCCTTCAGTATTTGAGCAAGAAAATAGACCATAAAGCAGAATATATAGGGGAAGATCATGCATGAAACTTTGTAGCATCATCCTCTTGCAGCAAAAGACAGGGAGTGTAGATGAACCCATGGCCCCCAGATATAGTCCTGAATTTCTTAGGAGACATCCAGTTGTGCCTCCGGGATGGTCAGATCTGTTGTATGTTCTCTGTCATGTTTTTAGTTGCCTGTGAATATCATGCTGTTACTCATCCTAAATAAAACTAGGAAGGATAGGGCATGTGATCACAGGCATAGTTGGGCTATAGTGAGGCTTTCATGCTGAGTGATATGAGCAGCCACAGGAGAGTTTTGAGCAGAGGAGGCTAGCTGACATTTTCAAATGATCACATGGCTATTCTCTGGACAATAGACTGTACTAGCAGAGGCAAGAGTAGAAGCCTTTGTTAGCTCCAAACCTTCAGGGGTCTCCAGTGCCTATTGAGGGAAGCCACAGCTCTGGAGCTCAGCATTCAGGGACCTCTCCTATCTGGGTCTATTCAACTTATTCAGACTCACATACATTCTTAGCTGTAGTCACACA